GCCTAGTCAAGCTGCGTAGGTGTCGACGAGTTGTTCTGCTGCAGAGCGGTGTGGTTCCTTGGTCGTCAGGTGGGCCAATATACGTTCCCAGCCTGGTATAGGATGCCACGTGGCTAAAGCAGAGGGAGTCCAATGTGAGAGGTCCAAAGAATATTCAGAAGTCTACCTATCTTTCCCTAGCCTATCTCCACAACCACTCGTCCTGAACTGTACCTACATGTGCCGTAAACATGGTACCCTTGTACCCATATCAGCCTTGCCCATCCTGCCTGCGACCTTCCACTCTTCACCTGTTGATCGATGTCTGTTGATCGACGTCTCATGTTGATCGATGATCGATAATCGATGATCGATGGCCGATGATCGATTATCGAAGTCCTTCTTGATCGAAGTGTAGGGTAGGGTTCGGCTTGCGCAACCAACTTCAACTGGGGTGTTCGTCACACCAAATGCGACACGCCTTGCACCCATCTTCGCCTTTCAATCGATCATCCGGCCTCTAGTCACACTTGATCGGAATTTTCCGTGGGCGCTCCACGTTAATCGCCCCCTGCGTGCAACGGGACTGTACAGCGGTTCACTCGCACGCAAGCCCCAACTGCCACATCATATCCCAGATCTTATTCTTCCGACGTTGACCAACTGGCATGCCATCCGCATCCTCCGCAACTTCTTCGGCGCCTGGTGCGCCCAGCACTACCGCGCGCCCGTCCAGCTCCAACTCCACTTCTGGTGCTTATGCCTGTGCATCTCCTGGTGTTGCCAATCTTGCTCATTTCCTTTGTTGTTTCCGTCAGCGCCTTGGCCTCGAGCTCGCGCGTCGCTCCCGTCGCCTGCGTTGCCGACGTTACCGCTCGCGCCTTCTACGCTGAATCTAGCTTCCGTCCGCGGTGCGTTGGATCAGCTCGCGGCCGTGGTGGACCATGCCAACACATGCGAGTCTCTGGTCGAAGACCACCACGCTCTGCAGCTGGTCTGTCGCGATCTGCAGGCTCGGATGCGTGAGCTGGAGCAGGAGATCGATGGCAACTTCGCCGCTGCTCGTCCCTTCGTCGAATTTGTCGAGCACAAATACTCAATTGTGCTCAACCAGCGTAATTGGGCCCAGGCAGACCTTGGTGAGGCCTTGGATGAGTTGCAAGACCGTCGTGACGACTCCGCGGAGATTTTGAACGTGCGCGCTCGCTTGCAGACGACTCTCGCCGACCATATCGAGGAGCTGGAACGTCTTCACCGGGAGATCGATGCCTTGGAGACGCGGCTGAGCGCTGCTCGAGCCGTAGCAACTCAGCCCTCTCCTGCCGATGCTCGTCGCTTTGCTGCTCTTCACCGCGAGTGCGAACAACTCCAGGTTGACCTTCGCAACGCTCGTGACGCTTTCCGCACTCAGGGTGTCGCGATCCACAGCGCCGAGAACACCATCCGCGCACACGAGGCCCACCTGAAGAAGTTGGAGGACTCGGAAGCCCACCTCCAGCGCCACGTGCGCAAGCCCGTCACCAGCGTGCTTCTAGAGTTTTGAGTAACCCCGTTACAGGTTCAGCGACGCAGCCGCTGTTGCCGAGGCTGCTACCCGTCGCCTCACTTCCGAACTGGACGAGGTCACCATTGCCCGAGACAAAGCCGTCGCTGCTTCTCAAACGTTTGGTACGTTCGACACTGATTCACCTTTGTGCCCTTGCTAATCTTGATCCTTTGTTCTTAGAGTTGCGGGCAGCTTCTATCCACGGTGACGTCGTTCGTTTGGAGCAGGACGCCGATGCGACACGCGTCGATCAAGAGGAGTTCCAAGCTCTCCAAGTTCAAGTTGGCATCCTTCAGCAGAAGGTGGAGGACGTCTCCCGCGAGAACGGTGCGCTGAGCCTCCGTGTCTTAGAGGCTCTTGCCATGTCGCCGAGGAAGAGCGCGACCAAGCTTCTGCCGACTTGCTCGCTCTGCGGTCTCAAGTTGCAGGTTTAATCTCCTTGGTGCAGCCTGCCCCGGTTACTTCTGCCGCGGCTGATATTCCTGACGTCGATCCATCGTCCGTGCGTGATCGCCCCCACGTTGGAGCCAGTCGTAAACGTCGCACCGTTCAAGATCCTGGCGACGCCTCGCCTCCTCCACGCTCTAAGCCTCGGCGCGAGTCTCCTCATTCTAACGCCCTGCCGTCCGAACTCGATCTCTCCGGCGACCAAGATGACGTGTCCGCCGGTGTGGATTCTCCGGGACGTCATGGCGCTAGTACTCTTCGCGGTTTACGGCCATCCGGCCGTGATGGCGTCGACCAGTCACCTACCGGTCCGTCCTTGAATCGTCTCCGACTTGGCGATGCTCAGTCCGACCTCGCGGATCCTCTCCGTGATGCCGACTCGGGGAGTGACGACTCCGTGATGTATGCCCTATCAGGTCGCCCCACTTTGACGCCTCCTCCTGCTCCGTCTGATCTCGCCGGTACCACGCGTGATCGTCCTATCGAATTAGACGCAGATGACGCGGATGACGGTGACGCTGGTGCCGATCAAGCTAGGACACCCGTTCGTGGTGGCAGCGTCCCTGGTTCAGCCGCCGTCGACGACAGTAGTGCCTCCAAATTAGTGTCTCGCAACGAACTGCTGACTCCTGCCGCCTATACCCAGTTGTCTCCAACCTGCGTTGACCGCGCGCACTGGGTTCCAGGCTACCGCACTCGTGTAATCTTTTCTGTGGCTGACGCCGCCCCCTGGCCCCTGTTGGACGTCTCACAAATCAGCGTCCTTGAACTTGACGTTACGATGCTGTTCAGCCGTTTTTCCAAGCCTCCTAACTGGCTATTTCCGAAACCAGAGCCAGTGCCCGACGACTCCGATTGGGACGTTGCACGCTTGGACGAGGGCAACGTTTCGGCCGTTTATGCCTCCACGATATGGGGAGTTCTTGTGAAGCCCGTGACGCCCATCTCTTTCGAGAGGGACAGTCCTCATTTCCAGACTTTGTCGCGGAAATTAGAAGAGTTGCAGACGGAGCATCGTCAGACGGCGTGGGAGTCCACCCACTCCTTTCCCATCTCGGAAGATTTACGGCGGGCCGTAAAGTACTTCGCAATTCTCTACGCGGAGCACAGGCAGCGTCGGTCGCGTTGTGGTGCTGCCTGGAAAAGCTTCCTTAAGTTCGTGTTGCTGAGCATCGTGGCTGGACACTGCGACCTCGACATTCTCCTGGATCTGTCTTCCTCCATTTTCCACGCCCTGGCGAGCGCTCGCAATGGTATCCTGGTCTGCACTACACTCCACGGCCTGCGAACCTGTTTCAACCTCTTCGTGACGTTGACCGCCAAGACCCCTCGCGCAACCAGTACCGCCACGCTATTGAAGATCACCCCGGTTCCCAGCTTCCCCGTCTTGAGGGCAAGCTCATCCCTCAGGAGTAGCCTCAGGGTCCGGTAAGCCGATCAACACAGTCGGCGCCTTGCGTCTCTCAGCCACACTTGTCTTGACCTTGTTCGTACCATGTGCGTTGCGCTAGTTCCTTCCCTGCTTTGAGGCTAACCTCTCTTGCTTTTTGCAGTTGGACATGCTCTCATGTCATCGTCTGGCTGATCACATCGGTGAAGTCTTACTTCCTTCTCGGTTTCTGGCCCTCGACACTTCCATTGCGCGTCGTCTTACACGGCAGTGGCCGCACTTTTTGCGCGGTTGTCGGTCCCCTGCTTCAGCTCTTCGCCCCCATGTCTGGACTCTGTTTTCTGGTTTTTCGATCGTCGGCCTGATCATCCAGCCTCGTTCGTCGATCTCGATCATCCTGTTTCGATCGTCGATCTTGATCATCATTCTTGATCATCCCGTTTCGATCATCGATCCCGATCCTCAGTTTCGGTCATCGATCTTGATCCATCCAAATAGGTACGTAATGCCATCCATCACTTGGGCTTCCCTTCTAACTTTCGATGTTCCCTTCT